ACTACTGATGATGAAAAAAACCAACAAAAATTTGGGTCTGATTTACAGATGACTTTGCATGGCATACCACAATGTGCAAAAGTGAATGGGTGCAGCCTTACACACCCCTACTCTGGGACATTCCTGAAGGACAGTGATAAAGCAAATCCATTACTGCTATTGATGGGCATTTAGGTAGCTTCTATTTTGGAACTATGACAAATAATGTAGTCATATAAATATTCATATATATATTCTGATGCATACCCACCAGGTATGGAATTGCTGGGTCATGCATATATTCAACTATAGTAGATATTGACAATTTAATCAGCTTTAAATCACATATTTGGGTATGTTGTAAAGTAGCCCTCTAATATGAATTGGTGATCATAAATCACATATTTGGGTATGTACTAAAGTAGCCCTCTAATATGAATTGGTGATCATCTGCTTCTAAGACGACAAAAAACTTCTGATAATAATGCCTAAGAAATAAACTTGGATGCTAGGTTGTTGTGAGAAAGCTGGGTATCAAAAGTTTAAGACCAACCTCAGCAACCCAGTGAGACCTGAGACCTGAAGCAACTTAGCCACACCCTGAGTCAAAATAAAAAATAAAAAGAGATTGGGGATATAACTTAGTGGTAAAGCACCTCTGGATTCAATCCCCAGTAGAGAAAGAAGCCTAGATGTTGGGTTACTATAAGCTCTTTGGGGTCAGTGGCCATATACCAGATCCCTAGCATATACTAGGTACTCAATATTGAAAGAATCAAGAGGAGGGCTATAGTAACCTAGACTAAGTATTATTTGTTATTTGCCAAGTTCTACTCTAATTGCCTTCGGTTATTTCTTCTAAAACTAAGCAGTTATAATTGATATGATAAGTAAACTGAAGCTTTTAGGGATCCAATGACTTTATCAAGATAATCCAGTTATGGGCTGGAGATGTGGCTCAGCGGTAGCGCGCTCGCCTGGCATGCGTGCGGCCCGGGTTTGATCCTCAGCACCACATACCAACAAAGATGTTGTGTCCGCCGAGAACTAAAAAATAAATATTAAAAATT